CTTACTGCCTCCCAACTAGTCCACGCACTGTCACCATAATCGGGAGCAAGCGGCTGGCGATTAGACTCAGTGAGCGTAACCACCTACGGTACACCGCCTTATGTCCGGGACGAAACTCGTCGAACATCCATCCCTCTTGAGGTTCACCTCCATGGGAGTGGGTGAAGGTTTGGAATTCTCCATGCTGAACCTCTTGAGAATAGAGGTCGCATATTGGGTTTGATGCATCGTGAGAGTTCGTTGCGAACGGTCTCGAACGATGTGGAACCCAAGAATTAACTTGAGTGGGCCAAGGTCGTGCATTTTAAAACGCGTTGACAGGCCATGTTTGATTGCTGTCATCATGTCCTTCGTGGGAGCTATGATGACGAGGACGTCGGCATAGACGCCGATATAAACGGATCGTCCGTTCATGACCTTTGAGAAGACACACCTGTCTTTGACAAGTTGGGGTGTACTCTTGCTCGCACAAGTAGATAGCCAGTGTCTGGAACCACAAGCGTGGTGCCTGTTTCAGGCCGTAGACTCTTCGAAGTACTCGAAGTACGTCGCGAGGATGTTTGGCGGTGCCAAATCCTGGAGGGTGTTTGATGTAGATTTCACAGTCGATTTCTCCATTGAGAAAGGCTGTGATGGCATCCATCGCGTCGATATCATCGTTAAGGACCGCGCCGAGAGTAAGCATCATTCGCAGAATTTCCTTTGCGATGACTGGGGAGTCACTCTCCTCGACGTTGGACCTGAGTGTATCCTTGGATGACAAGTTGCGCTTTGTATCGGGCGACCTGTCGCTTAGTCTCGGTGGTCGGGTCATCGAATTTAATCTTAATGACCCAGCGCATGCCCAGGGCTGACTTCCCTCAAGGCAATGTTGCGTTCTCGAACGACATGTTCGCCTCATGCGAAGCAAATTCGAGGAGCATGGCTTCGTGCCAATGCGCTTTGGCTGGTGACATCATAGCTTGCGCATATGTTGAGGGCTCCTCAGTAGGTGATTTGACCTTGAGGGCCGAGAGCATGCGCCATACTGGACTCGTGTAGCCAGAGTATAAAGCCTCCCCAATTGAGGGTAGAGGTGTGGTTGCAGGAGCAGCCTCCCCAAGATGCGATGGCAACGGGGTTTGTGTTTGGGGAAGTGGCTTGTCCACAGTAAAACAATTACGGTGTGGAAGCTCAGTCCGCAGTCGTTTGACTTCCTCGACTGATCTCAGGAGGGGAAACTGATGTTCAACAAAGGTGGCATCACGGCTCGTGAGCTCGTAGTGTGTGTCAATGTTGAGAAGCTTGAACCCTCGAGATATCTGGGGTAAACCGATGTACATGCGCAGGA